ATGGGTATAGGACATTAAAATGAATCATTTCATCTGGAACCAGACTTGACAAAAATCCAAACAACAACAGTGTTGTATTCCAAAAGGATTGAGATACATTATTAGCTCTTGTATTGCTCTCTTCAGATTTTTCTCTTATAGCAGTATATTTTTCCCCAACAAAACAAAAAAAGTTTCAGACCAGTTTGGTAAGGCTATTAAAATTCAATGATCAAATTTGTTAAAGTATGGAAAGCTTTTGACAAAATCCATTTCAACCAAAAAGTAGTAAACAGCCTCCAAACCAAACCTAGACAGCGTACTTATCAATTCATTAAAAGCAATTAATTCCAGCAAGAGCAAACAAGTTGAACATAGCTTTGGACCCATTTACAACTCATACCATACTTTGGCTTTCCTTCCCAGAAAAGTCTACGCATGACATTATTATTATTATCATTATCCTTCCCAATACAAGTAATAAAGCCAACCTTGAACACTTTCATAAAAATTCCTTCTTCTCCTCTATTTTCTCCTCAAAATTCAATCTTTTCGCTGGTGTTGCTAATTAATCATCATATAACCAACAATGGTAATAATCTCACATGAATATTTCCCGCCAAGTAAATGCCGGCCTCCGACGGGGCCGATCGTTGCCCGGAATCTCTCCGACCACCGGCTCCTTCATTCGCTTCTCGCAATTTCACTTGAGATTTCGTCTATGCAACCGATTCGGTTTCTCCTCAGGAGAAACACTTACTTAATGATTAGAAGGTCAAAGCTGGTAAGCATTCTGTTCGAAGAGCTTCTCCGGAGCCCGGTGACGGCGTTCCCGCCAACGGCTGAGTTATGTTTCGAAGAACTCTATATAGCTCTGCAGAGTATAAAGGGGTTGATCGAAGATTGCCGGAATTCAAGCAAGATGTGGCTTCTGATGCGGAGCGAGATGATCTCCAACCGCTTCCACGAGCTCTCTGTGGAATTGTCCACGCTGTTGGACATTTTCCCGGCGAAGGATTTGGAGCTAGGCGAAGACGTGGAGGAGTTGATCTGCCTTGTTCAGAAACAGAGCTCAGAAAAGGAAGCTTATGTGGATTCTGGCGATGAAGTTCTCAGGGAAGACGTTCTACGTATGCTGGACAGAATTAAACGAGAAATCGTCCCAGATCAGGAAAATCTCGCCGAAATTTTCAATAAATTGAATCTCAGTGATTCCACGAGTTGCAGCGATGAAATCGATTGCCTGGAGGATGAAATTCAGAGCCAAACGGACGCTAAGTCGAAATCCGACATTGTAGCTTTGATCAGCTTGGTTCGCTACGCGAAGTGCGTCTTGTACGGCGCTTCTACGCCCAGAAGAGCACAGAGACGACGGAAGACGGCGGCGGATGTGGTCGCCCCTGCAGATTTCCGGTGTCCGATATCTCTCGATTTGATGAGGGACCCTGTGGTCGTGTCCACGGGACAGACGTACGACCGACCCTCGATTTCTCTCTGGATCGAATCCGGTCATAACACGTGTCCCAAGACGGGCACGTCGTTGACCAGCGGGGAGCTAATTCCCAACGTGGCGTTGAAGAACACGATAGCTATGTGGTGCAGAGAACAGAGAATCGCGATTGAGTTAACGGACCCGAACGTGAAGTCTCACGGCGCCGTCACCAACAAGGCGGCGTTGGAGGCCACGAAGATGACGGTTTCGTTTCTGGTTAACCAATTGAGGACTTGGCAGTCGGTTGAAAAGGCTAACCGTCTGGTCCACGAGCTCCGGGTTTTGGCGAAGACGGACTCGGACAGCCGAGCCTGTATCGCGGAACTCGGAGCTCTGCCGCTGCTCGTAAAGCTTTTAGGCCCGGAGAATCCGAGCCTGCAAGTCAACGCCGTCACGGCGATTCTCAACCTCTCCATCCTGGAAGCAAACAAGGCTAGGATAATGGAGATGGACGGCGTTCTAAACGGCGTGATCGAGGTGCTCAGATCCGGCTCCACGTGGGAGGCGAAAGGCAACGCGGCGGCCACCGTCTTCAGCCTGACTGGTTTAAGCACTCACCGGAAGTGCCTGTGGAGCAAGACACGCGTAGTAAGAGGATTGGTTAATCTGGCGCGTGAAGGTCCCACGAGTTCAAAGCGGGATGCGGTGGTGGCAATTTTGAATTTGGCGGGAGACAAGGAGGCTGCGGGGAAGCTTATCGAAGGAGGAGTGGTGGAGATGGCAGGGGAGGTGATGGACGCGCTGCCGGAGGAAGCGGCTACGATCCTCGAAGTGGTGGTGAAAAGGGGCGGAGTGGCGGCGGTTGCGGCGGCGTATCCTATCATTCAGAAATTGACGAAGCTATTGCGGGAGGGAACGGACAGGACGCGGGAAAGCGCGGCGGCGACGCTGGTGAACATGTGCCGGAGAGGCGGGTCGGAGATCGCGGCAGAGCTAGCGGCGGTCTACGGGATCGAGCGGGTAATATGGGAGCTGATGGGGACGGGAACGGGAAGAGGGCGGAGGAAGGCGGCGGCGTTGTTGAGGATACTGAGGAGATGGGCCGCAGCAGGCCCAAACGAGGATTCGAATGTGAGCGGTACAACGAGGATATTATTGCCCGGACGGGTGACCTAACCCCTCTTCCATATTTGTTTGTTCTTAAACTCAATTAAATTTCTTGTATTTATTTTTCTTAAAAGATATTTGTACATATTCATTCATTTCAAGGGCTTCAACACACAAATTAAACTTAAACATGGAGTATGAATTACCATCCACTATTGCACTGTGAATTGTACATATTATTCCTATATGATGAATATACTGCTCCAGGCTAAAATCATTGCCGACTAATAAGTATTTATTTAAAATAAAACAATAGGCAAATGTGTAAGAATATGATTCTTTTATCAAATTAATATTTTTAAACAAAACTTCAGGTTTTAATACGCCAGGAAACATCGTGTTTCCGCAAAAAGAGCTTTTATGGAGCCCTTATAAAAAGAAGAATTCGTATATAACTTTTCCTAAATTAAATACGTACGTGGTAGTTGTTTGGTACTTTGGTTCTAAAAAATGTGTTTACTTAATAGTATATCATTCCCATATTAGTTGTCCACTTTCAATTTGACACGATTATTAATAAATTATTTGAAAAATAAAAGTTATGGTTGAGATTTGAATAAGATAAAGTTAACCGATAAGGACCACATATTTTTGTCAAAAAAGGAAACAAGAATTCATTTTAGGACAATTAAAATAGAACGGAGGGAGTACTAATCGTCTATATAATATAATTCTCTTTTAAATAGGGGACCGCTACAGGCGTAGGGGCCATTATATAGTAGTCGCGGGCAGCTCCACTACCACTATTGATGAAGCTTGGACATGGTCATTGTGCTGAAACAGTATGTTTTTTGAGCATTTCTATCTTGTGTGAACTTGAAAATATTTCACGCCGTGCGCGCAACGGCCATCATACGAATCGCAGCAGCCGCATTGCTATAGATATCACCGCTACCGTTGTCGTTGCCGCTATCGCTATTTAAAACCGTAACAATTCCAAGTAATATATTCATACTCTAATTATTTAAATACTGGTTTTCTTATAATCAAATTGACCGGCTCAGAACCATTTGGTTAAACCGTGATGTGCCTGATAGCACCCATGTTGTGGTATCGCCTCACACACATATAAATATACTCCGTATATTTCACGTAAATTCCTACTCTTAACAGTAACAAATCTAACAGTCACCTTTCTAACCCATTGACAAGGTTTTTTTTTGGATGAAACCCATCGACAAGGTTAGGAATCAAATTTGTTGATCTTCCTTCCAATTTTGAGTTTGCATAAAGAATAAACTTGAGTGCTTACAACTGGTTCATTCATACAAAATTCAACTTTACTGTCTAAATCATACGGAGTATTAGACTACCGAGTATTAGTTTCAATTTGGATGTTTAACTGATTTTGTTATTTTGGGTAATCATGGTGAATCGGTGATGACCTCTTGTAATGTACTCTCTCCATGCATCCCAGATAATTGGTTAATTTTGATTGGCACCACAGATAAAGACAAGGAGTAAAAGGAGTTGATTAGACTAAGAGGCCGTTTGACAACACTGATTTTCGGTTAATCAGACTTATAGTCAACTTTTTCACCGAACACGTAAATTTTGCTTGCGCGCGCTGAATTGTGTAATAAGCAGAAAAAGTAAGGTTAAAGTTACTTTTCTGACTGTATTGGATGAAGTTACTGTATATGACTATTTTAGCTATTTTTACATATAATTTTTTCTTTATTTTATTTATCAAATGTATTTTTAAAATAATTTTTTCTTAAATCAGCATAATCAGCCAGTGCAGTCACTTCAGCCAGAACTTCATAAATTTCAGCAAAATCAACCAAAACAGCCGATTTTGATGCTACCAAACGGGCTCTAAATTAAAACAAATACGGAATACTAATGAACAGTACAAAATCAAATACATTTCAGAAAGAACTTCAATTCGTAAAACACTCGGGATGTAGGAACCCCAAATTAAAATAGGCAAAGTGAAGAGACAAAAAATTGTTGAGTTTCTGATCTCAATATTGCATTAAAAATAGTTTCATATTGGAGTAAGATTTAAATTTGTATGTGTGCGTACTTCTCAAAAAGAAAATACGGATTATGTAAGTACAAATATTTATAAATATTTATAAATATTTATAAGTTTTAAAATGGATGTTGTTGCTTTAAGTTTTGGCCCTGGCCTGCAATATAAAATTTTCAACTCCGGCCTCCCAACCTCCTTAACAATATATTTTTATGGCTACACCATTATATGTACTCGAGTAATAAATCATTATTTTGTGCAGTGTGCATAGATTTATGGAGTTTGTAGCTCATATTTCTTCCAAATCATCATTAGTAGATTTTCAAAGTTTAAAATGCAAAGACTAATTGTTAAAAACTAATATATACGTATATATACACTTGTGTGTATATATACATAGTATATATACATAGTATATATATACACACAAGTACTTAAGTTCCTCACAAAAGTTAGGTTAAACAAATGTTCTCTCTAGGGTTTGGCTTCCTAGCCGTCTCTAGTGTAATATCAGTTTTCCCGTCTCTTCCGTCTCAGCGTAGCAGCGCTTGCGAAGCAGGGACGAAGAACGTGGCAGTGGGGCGCGGATTCAAGGGCTGGTTTCGGAAACACAGAAGCAGGGGATCAATCGAAGCGGCTTCGACTCTAGCATCAATCGGTGGGCTTGCGGCAGAGCTAGGGGCAGCAGGCGGATTACAACTGATGGAGGAAGTGCTGGACCAATATAAGAGGTTGGCTGTAGGAGTGAAGAACAATAATCTCTACAGAGGAGACTTGATAGAGAACAGGATGAATAAGAGGCAAGGTAAAGACGTAAAGTAGACGCTACAGTATTGTTGGAGCGTCCCCCTCCTGAACCGCCGCCATGGAGTGCAGAAGAGTCTAGGGTTTGGAAGCATCTTTTTTATTTTACTTTTTTCTTGCGATTTATTTTTCAAGATCTTTCTGTTGGTTATTTTTATTATTGTAAGACTCTTGCATTAGGTTTGGGGGATGAGAGTTCTGCAGTAACCATTATTGGCTCAGTTATGCCCATTTTCACATCAGTGAGTTATATTGCTTTGTCAAAGGTGATTAATTTGGAGTCTGACCCAAGGGCGGATGGTTGCTATGATTTTAATCTAAGCCCCCTTCTTCCAAAAAAAAATAAGTTCCTCACAAATTAATATCATCTTATATTATTATTTATAAAAAAAAATATTAAATATATGATTAGTAAGACTTATAAATATTCTTCCGCACTGCACAAATCATTAATTGAGAGCTCCTAGGGCATCGCCACCAGACACTTTTCCGATTTTTTATCTCCTTGGTTGAAGTTCAGTCGTTTCTCCTAGGGCTTGCGCCGCGAGCCACTAGGTCGTGTTTCCGATTTCAATCTTGCCGGTATTTACCCTCTCTGTTTCGCTCTAACTTGCTCTCCATCAGGTTTAGGACGGGCTGGGGATGAGCGTTTCAGGAGAAAGCAAATTTGGGTCGTGATTTTGTTCGGGTTATGGACTTCTCTCTTTTACCACTGGTTTCGATTAGGAAGGTAAGCATAGTTTTCGGGTTCATTCGGGCTATAATCATAGGGATTAAGAAGATGCCAGTGGAAATTTTACACTTTTTTAAGTTAGTGCAAACCCTCCTTAAATTAGGTACCTTTTTCAGTTTTTGAACAAAGCCAAAAATGTAAAATGTTATTTGTACACGTTAAGTTGTACACAACATTTTACACGTCGGTCAAGTTGTCTGTAGACAGACAACTCTTTTTGTTTTGTGAAGAGAATCATTTTTCAAACATACAAAAAAATATGTCTGTGTCACCGACAAAAAGTCTTGTTTGTATGAAAAACGATTATATTCTCTTCACAACTACTCCCTTCGTCTCGCTATGATTGTCCCGTTTTACCTTTTCGCCATTTTTTATCCGTCTCGCTAAGATTGTCTCATATCTTATTTGGTAAAATTTGTGTGGTTCTAAATCATTCTTACTTTATTCTTATTTTATCAATTCTATATCAACCACATAAATCTACTTTAATTTTATTAAAAATTGTGTCACTTTCTCTTGTTTCAAACTTAGGGGGACGGGGGTAGTAGTATTTTTGTGCATAGACAACTTGACTAGCATGTTGTGTACAACTAACGTGTAAACGAAGCATGGTCGGCCAAAAATGGTGTATGCCCAAACAATTAATGGTTGTGCTCAAATCAATGTATACACATATAAGATCAGAGCACAAATCAATGTATGCTGCCTGCAAATTAATATCCGTGACATCCATAAATTACATCTGTGAATGAATTACGGATCAAAAAATTTATTGGTACACATTTTTCATACACACCTACACACTCATGTTTGTGAAGAGTATTTTTTGTCCGTATACAGACATAACATAAAATTAGAGGTCCCAAAAATAAAACAAAAAAAATGGACTGGTATTTGCTATCTTCAAAAGACATACAAAAAATCTAATTAAATAGCATTAGCTGTTGGTATTTTAGCAGATTAATACGGAGTGTGCTTTAGCAGAAAAATTGAAAAATTAAAATAAAGCACTCGTCCCAATATCCCTCAATATCTAAGGATAAATAAATAAGGAGTAGAAAGCTAAAAGGCTAAAGAAACAACCCTAGCACTAGAGAAATGAATACTAGCGGACTGGGATTCTGCCTTTGATTCCAGGGATGGGTTTAATTGATTCAGAATATGCAATCTAATTCGATGGAACCTCATTAACCTATCCAATAGCCATTGAGAAGAAGATAAAAGTGTCTAATGCATTACCATTTATGAATAGTTAAAAGTAAGAACCTGAGATGAATACTACGGAGTATCATACTCATCTTGGAAACGAAGAGGCCGTTTGGTAACATCTTTTTTTGGCTTATCAGGCTTATCAGCTAACTTTTTCACCAAACATGTAACTTTTACTTTCGCGCGCTGAATTGTGTAATAAGCAGAAAAAGTAAGGTTAGAGTTACTTTTCTGGCTGTATTGGCTGAAGTTACTGTAGATGACCATTTTAGCTATTTTTACATATAATTTTTTCTTTATTTTATAAATAAAATATATTTTAAAAATAATTTTTACTTAAATCAGCAGAAACAGCCAAAGCAGCCACTTCAGCCAGAACTTCATAAATTTCAGCAGAATCAGCCAAAACAGCCGATTTTCGTGCTACCAAACGGGCTCGAAGAGTCGTTGCGAATTACTGAGCCGTTGGCTGCTGGTTTGTTGCGGCATGTGGAAAGGCCGAACGGGCTGGACTAAGGGTCTGTTTGCAACAGCTTCTGCTTTTAAAAAAGTGATTTTGAAAAGTAAAAGTGTGTAGTGTTTGGTAAAATAGGTGTTTTTTGTGTAATAGAAAAAGTAAAAGCACTTTTGACGCGGAAGCCGAGAAAAATAAAAGTTGTAGTGTTTGGAAAAATAAGTGTTTTTTTAAAGTCAAAAGCTGAGAAGTGCCTTTTTAAAAGGAGTTGCAAACCAACCATAATACTATTACTAAAATATTTTTTTGGGGCCCTGTGCGATTGCACAGATTCTCCTCCCCCAGGGCCGGCCCTGTGTAGGTGTGTGTATGAAAATGTGTACCTCAAGCTGGATTGATTTTAAGATATACAGGCAATAGCTGTTTCTATACGTGCAATATAATACCACGTGTTGCATGTTTACATACAATAGGTGCGTGCCTATTTAGTTTTATCACTTTTATATATATGTGAATTCTATAAATAAAAAAAAAGAGTTATTAGTCCTAAATAGGACTGAATTATGATCAAAGTTCCTAAATAGGAGTTAATGTTTTATTTTACCTAAATAGGACTCCTAATTCCCAATTTACCCCTGCTCTAATAAAGACCCTAAATCTGCCATCATCGACATCTTCTTTTGCCGATGCGGAAAACTTCCATGGAGTGAAGGAGATGTTCTTCTGTGCACCATACTCCAGCCGGTACATGTCTACAGGTAATCGCACCTCCTCTTCTCCTTTTCTTCTTTCTTCTCCTTCCCCTCTTCTCCTCCTCCTTTATCCTCTTACTCTATTCTCTGCTCCTCTTACATTTATTCAAATATTATTTCGATTCTCTGCCCTAAAATTTGAATTGGAAACATTTGGGTATGAAAATTAGAGACTCTTGTTCAAAATTTGAACGGGAAACCTTTGAATCGGAAATCTTTATGAACTTGTAAGAAATGCCACATTTATGGCATTTTTTTTATGGGGATGGACATTTACATCTTTGAAATGCCAGATTTTTGACATTTTCACAAATTTTGGTATTTTCATGGCATTGAATTGTATTTATTGGCGATACTACTGCTTCATTTTTGTTCCCCTATTTCCCTGTTTGGACTCTAAAATGTGAAAATGCCATAATCTGTTATCTGAAAATTCCATATCTTTACAGGTAGAAATGCCATTTTTTTTGCCATTATCGTTATCATAATTGCATTTTGTTTTGAAATTGATGTCGTACACTCAAAGGAGGTAACAATGACTAAGAAGATGGTTATCTTTGGAAGAGAATTTAGCTGTGGCAGTTTGGCACCATTCTCGCTCGCAATAGGATGGGTAAGTGTGCAGTTGCAATCTCGGCGGCAACTTTGGGGGCGGTTTTACTTGGTTGCGGTGGCGGTCTCTACAGTAGCAGCCATGGACGGAAGGTGATGAAGGTGTCCGGCTTGGAGTTTGCATCTGGAATGAGCAGCTGGGCTGGAGGTCGGTTTGGAGTTCAGCGTGGAATGAGGCAGCGTGGGAAGGGTTTTATTGATCTGTAATTTCAGGGCAATTTTGTCTAATCAATTCATTTTTGGTCCTATAAATTATGAGAGTCCTATTTGTGCACTTCAACATTGATTTAGTCCCATTTAGGGATTTACCTCTAAGAAATGTGATTTCTATAACAAAAATATTGACAAGGACAATAATTGTTACTCTCTTCGTTCCTTTTAAGGATTTTCACTTTTCATTTTTTAACGTCCCACTTAAAGATTCTCATTTTCTGTTTTAGAAAATAATTAACACTCTTAAATAATAATTTAATCATCAAATATTAAAATAATACAATATAACATTACAGTTATCATCATCTATCAATGACTCATCATATTATATATTCATCAAAAGTATTTCTCAAAATATATTCAAATTAGCATATTTAATTATTGTCTAAATAATCGTGTTGTTTTGTCGTAGGAACCTTTGAACGGGATGAAGTAGTATAAACAAATTAAACAAATCAATGTTATTCACAAATAGTACTCGCATTTGTTTGTATGATACATCTAAATTCCTAAACTAGTTGTTTAAATCCAATTGGTACAAAAGTGTAACTTATGATATAAAAGAAACTATTCATAAGAATAATAATCAAATCATGTGCGAGATGGGTTAAGACTTGGGTCCGCAACCAATGTGTCATCCCATTGGTTCGGTACAGTATACCTTAAATTTTTGCTCAAACTTTTGCCGTACCAAAACTTTCGGTATGCAAAATTTGCATACCTTTACCTTACCGAAGTTTCGATATACCGCATTTCGGTATACCGAAGTTTCGGTTCGGTAACGGTACGGTATCGGTAAATTACCGTGTATGTCTCCCAATACAAAAAATTATCATAGACTAACGAAATATACTAAATCGTTATTACTAGCGACATATTAAATTTATTATTAAAATGTTACGAAACACAATTAATAATCTATTGATGTCAATTCAATATTGAACAATAATTATTATTAATATATTTAAGCAGTTCAACATGCCACATATTAAAAAGTAACACATTCTCCTAAAATAACTTGAACAATATAGATATAACTAAATCAATAGTGATCTCTCACAATAATAAATAAAACTATTCAAACAACATGGATATAAAATCATTTATTCCTAATATCATATTGGGTATTCAGTCATTTTTATAATTTTTAAAAATTGAATAAGACTTCCGGACAAAGTTGTGTGTCTCGACTCGCGGAATCCCTATGTAGATACACTTGTCACATAAATGTATCTATTTT